GCAGCGGGAAAGCCAGAGCTTCCATTCTACACAGGCCTGTGGGGCCAACTGTGGGCTGTGCCCTAGACCGACAGCTAACAGTTCGGGTGGAGGGTGGCCAGGATGAGAAATAGGTGCCTCCTGGGGAAATGATCTTTGAAAAATAGAGGAGTCTGGTGCTTCCCTTGGGGAAAGGGGGGCAGATCTGGAGTCAGGTCCTGGGGGAGTGCTGCTGAGGTGGCTGGCGTGGCTGCAGTACCCCAGTGTGGCCAGCGGAGGGCGTGTGGAGCCTGGAGAGTCCTATCTGGTCCCCTAGTGCAGGGCCCGGGGAAGCCCAAGGAGGGGCTGAGTCCCCACCTCGCCCTCAGGCAGGTACCCAGCCCAGAGAACTCCATGGGGGGCCTTTGATAGAGCTTCCAAAGGCTGGGCTGGGCTGACAACCTGGCTTTGTGTCTTTAGCCCTCAGCAGTGGGGAAGGAACCCCATTCCTTAATCACCAAAAGGCAGTGTGGAGTGGTGGGTGGTTCAAAGCTCCAGCTCGGGAGTCAGACCTGTGTTGTTAAATCCATTTGCCAAACTAAACCTGTTTCCTCTGGTAAATGGAGATCTAAGAATTCCTGCGTTGAGATAGTTGTGAACAGGAAATTAGATTGTGCATGGAAATCTTAGTCTAGGGGGTCTCATGCTCAGCACATAGTTTCTAAAAACAAGGAGACACTTTCAAGTGTTGAGACCCCAGACTAGGTGTAAGTTTCCCACTTCCCCACCAGCTCCCCAACAGCTCCTGCATGAAGGGGTGGGACTGGTGGGCCTCTGGTCACCCCAAACCGTGGCCGTGAAGTCATCTCCATGCATGCAATAGATGCACAATATGTGCTTGTAAAGTTAACAATAGCTACTGTTTATTGGACATTTCCTGACATTTATATAGTGCTTCACAGTTCACAAAGCACTGTGAGTTCGTCTGTGGAGCAGATCCTTAAGGCCTACTCTGCGCAGGGGCAGGAGGCCGTCCGTGGTGAGCAAGATGGAGACCCGGGCCCTAGGCCTGCCATCTGGGGGCCAGGGGTTAGCAGGAAAAGCAGCAGTGTATGCTTACTGCACCCAACCCAGTGCTGCCCTGGGGAGGGGGGGAAAGGGGGATGTTGTGTTTCATGGTCAGAGGCTTTTCAAGGAAGAGTTAGCCAAGAATTGGAGGGAGAAGAGTGTCCCAGATACAGGGAATAGCAAAATGTAAAGGCCAGAGGTGAAGGGCCAGCAGGGCAGATTGAAGAAGTGCAATGAGGCTGCAGGAGAATTGCGGGGGGAGAGGGGATGGAGGCAAAATATGAAAATGACTCATCCTGCAACACTTAGGCTTGCATACCTCCAGAGACTGGCAGCTCTGCTAGGAAAGCCTTTTATCAGGCCACAAGGTCAAACACACTTCTTAGACTTGATAATGGCCACCATGGAGCACTTCCTACTGCTGCGTGCAAAGTGTTTTATGTGCATTTCATTACATCCATAACACAAGGCAGCTACTATCTTCATCCCCATTCCACAGATGAGGAATCTGAGGCTTAGAGAGGCAAAATCTCTCCAAAGACCCTAGAGCCTGGGAATGGCAGTGCTGGGATACAGGCAAGCCCCCTTCCCGGAACCTCAGCATTCCCATCTGCAACCTGAGCCCAGCGAGGCTGGAAGGGGCCTACCTCAAGCGTCCCCGGAGGTCCTACCGCCCTTGGGACAGGCAAGTGGCCGACCAGGCCCGTGCTTGGCGTATCACTTTCAATTCCCGGGAAGAGGGTTAAATACCTCCGAGGGGCCCTTTGAGAAGGCGGCAGCGAGGGAGGGGGTGACCAAATGACTTTCAAAGGGGCCTGAATGTGCGCTGGCCCCTCCCCCCTGAGGAGGGGGCCCTGCTTCCTCCTGGCCTAATGATATTCTGGGCTCAGCCCTCGTCTTTGGCGGCAGTTTAACCCGAGCTGGGGCAGATTTCTTTCTCACTGATCTCAGCTTGACACCCAATTAGCACAAGAATGGGAGGAGGAAGCCTGCGAGAGGCACCTCCCAGCCTCCCGGGGCGCACGAGGGGAACAGGCGGGAAGACAAAGGGCAGCGGGCAGGGGGGCACCCGCGCCCTCGCCTCCCCCGCCAACCCTGCCATTGTGTCCCTTGGAGCTTCAGAAAGGATGGAGGCTGACGCCTGGGCTGCCCAGCCTGCAGGAGAGGACGGGGTGGGGCCCAAGCCCCTCTTTTGCATGGATCCCCAGGGAAGGTGTTCGGGTGAGCCTTGCCCAGTGGGAGGTAGTCAGGGTCAGTGAGTTAAGGGCAGGGATTTTGAAGGCACAACCACCTGGGGTTGAGGCCTGACACTTAGAGGTCCATGGGCATGCCATCGGTTCTAAGCCTATTTGCTCATTGGCAAAATAGGGATAATGATACTTCCTGTGAGGAATCAATCAGGTAATGCATGTAAATAAAGCACCTGGCAGGTTCAAAGTGGACATTCAATAAATACTCATTGAATGAATAAACTATGCTAAACTATTACTGTTACTAATTAAGAGGTAAGGTGGGGTAGGCTTGGAGTCAGGAGAAGGAAGAACTTGTTAAGAGTTGACAGCCAGGCATTCACAGAACCAGCTGACTTACTCGGAGCTGTGCAAGAAGCTGGAGGACCCCCGCCTGCTGAGATGTGGGAAGGATTCCTACTACTCCAGGAGGAAGGGAATGCCTCTGGTCTTCCCACCTCCACCTCCCACAATTCCTTTGGATTTGGGCTTAACATATGACTTCCTCTAGGAAGCCTTCCCTGATCCCAGGGCTGCATTAGGGACCTCCAGCCCCCACAGATCCTATGTTCCCCCTTCATAAGACCCCAGAGCCTGGGAGTGGCAGTGCTGGGATACAGGCAAGCCCCACAGTGTGGTCTGTTTTTACATCTGTGTCTTCTAGGACATCAGGCCCAAGAGGGCAGAGGCCCATTGGTTTTGTTCACCACTGTGCTCCAGCAACAGCACGGGGCCTGACACTTAATTGGTGCACAATGAATGTTTGTGAAATGGATAAAGCTCTTCAAATGCTCCCTAGCTCTACTCTTCCAGCCCCAGGCGGTGCAGTTCCCTGTGTCAGAGGATATTCAACTCATAGAGGTGGGTTGGGATCTGAGGCTCTAAGGGTTCTGAATGCCTTCTAGGAAGGCCTTTATCTTGTTGGCAGAGAGAGGCCATTAAATGACTTTGGGCAGGGGAATGTTAAGAGTTCACTGAATCATTTTGTGTATTCACTCAGCAAGCACCTACCAAACCCCTATAATGTACAAAGCTCCTCACTGTGAGCTAAGGATCAAAGATAATCAGGCAAGGCTTCTGTCCCGGAGCAGCTGGGTCCAGTAAGAATCTTAGAATATTTTTGCTGAATGGACTTTAAGAGGTGTTTGGTGCCAAACCTTCTACAGGATGGGGAAACAGACTCAGAGGGGGTAAGTGCATACCCACAGCATGGTGATTTCCACTTATCACAGGATTCCTCTGCACTCTTTGAAGAGCAAGGCTGTGTCTCATTTGTCCTTGTTTTGCCAGTGCCCTGGAACAGTACCCAGGACATTGAAGGGGCTCAGGGCTGTCCATGAAATTGAACTGTATAATGAAACCAAGTCCAAAGAGAGTGAGGTGGGAGGCAGGCAGACCAGAGAAGCAGGTGTTCGTAAGGTGATGGGGATGCTGGTGGGTGGCAGTGGTATTGGTGAGATGGGAGAATGGAAGGGAGCCTGTGTTAGGAAAAGAGGCACAGTGCCAAGACCTTGTTTAGTCCTTGCTACAACCCTGAGGTAGGGGCTATTATTATCCCCATTTTACAGATCAGAAAACTGAGGCACAAAGATGTTAAGGGACTTAACCAAAGACACAGCTAGGAAGTGGTGGGACCTGGGTATAAAGTTGGCAACTGAACTCCTAGTTCTTACCCATTATATCCTTCTGCCCTTAACCACACTCCACCAATGTTGAGGTCAATCTGGAAACGTGGCTTAGCTACACCAGGATATCCACTTCATTTCTGCCCTAGACTTTTCTAACAGGCTCCCTATTTCCCTGTCTCCTTCCTTTTTCCCTTCCAAACCATTCTCCACACTAAAGCCAACAAAGGATATTTTAATACACAGTTGTAATAATGTCAACCCCTCCCCAAACCCTTCAAAAGCCTCCCATTGCTCTTGGAAGAGACTGAAATTCTTACCTGGTTCACAAGGCATGATTTGGCCCCTGCCCACCTTTCTAGCCACCAGGCCCTGTTCCCTAGCCTCCATCTTATTACTCTCTAATGCTTCAGCATGTTCCCTAGAGAGCCTTTGCACCTTCTGTTCTCAATGGAATGACCCCAGAGAACAATCTCTCCCCCCAGCTCTCCTCTCACATCCACCGACGTCCAGATCAGTCCGTTTTCTTGTTGAAGTTCCTATAACTTCAGACGTTTTTCAGTATGGTTGGTATATTCATTTGGTTAGAGTTCGCTTCCCCCACTACACTGTGAAATGCCCTAAAGGCAGGAACCTTGCCCATCCTGTTCACCACGGCACAGACAAATGTGCCTGGCACACACAGAACGTGTAATAAATGTCTGTTGAATAAGTAGAGATCCAAGTCGACGGCCAAAAGAGCGCGGTTGGGTAGTGAGTCCACAGCTCAGGAGAGATTTCTGAAATGAAAATCAAGACTGGGGGTGAGGGGTCACTTATAATTCAAGTCAAGGCGAGTGGAGTGGACGGGCTCGCTCAAGCGGCATGCAGACTGAAGAGGGACCTCAAGTTAAACAGTAACGTGTCTCACAGGAACTGCGCAAAGACGCCGGGGAACTCCTCCGCTTAGCTATGGCTCGTTCAAAGAGCCGCCCACCTCGGCACTCTGAGCCCGGCCCCTAAAGAGCAGAGAAGCAACAATTCCAAAGACCCCAACAGTGGCCGTGACCTTCCCTCCGGCCTTCCTCCAATAGTTGAGGAGGATAGCGTCCTGAGCACCGCCTCTTCCGTCCGCGGCGAACGGAAGTGGGGCGGGAGTACCGGAAGCTGAGGGGAGTTTCCTGTGATCTTGGCTTCCTCAACATGGCGGCGCCCTTGTCAGTGGAGGTGGAGTTCGGGTGAGTCAGAGAGCTGGGGTGCCGTGGGATGGATTGAAGTCGTCGGGCCCGGAACTCCCTCCTTCTGCCTTGGGGCCTGTAACGACCGAAACGCCGAAGTTCCTGGCGTCTTCCCTGAGCTACGCCATCTATCTCGGAGAGTGTAAGAGGCTTGATTTCCCTGGGCGACGAGGCCGTATGTCCGGGAATAGAGGCGCACGTCCCGGCGTGGAGGTGCGCTCTGGGCACTCCTCAGTGCCCTGTTCCCTACCAAACTAAAGAGGCATGATGGTTAGCAGACGGTCTCCCTACCTTCTTTGCCAGTACCCTTTTGGACCAGCCACATGTGTCTAGCATCTGAGCTCCCAGAACTGAGAAGGACCACCCTTCACCCCCTGATTTCTTCCTTCGGGCAGCGATTTCCGCCTGCACGATTCTTGGAGCTTGTTTCTCGTGGGCTGTGTGGGCAAGACGGAACTCCTTTTTTTCCTCTTCGCCAAGATTTGGGGGTGTCAAACAGACCTGAGCCCCTTTCAGAACATTAAGTAAAATTGCTGATTGGCTTCTGCAGATCTTGAGTCAGGTGGAGATACGAGGTTAAATAAGAACAGCGGAGGAGACCAACCCTGACAGTACAGTATGCACAAGATGAAAAGTGCAGGATTGGGGTACACAGGCCAGTAAGTGAAGAAGCACAGATTAGGGAGGAAATCTTCTCAAGCCACTATCTTCCATCCCCTTACAGAGAGAAGGTTTGTCATATGATATTTGCAGAAACTGCGAAGCTTAGAGAGAAGGCAAAGAAACTGACACCCTAATAGAAGGGGTGTGTGTGTGTGAAGATAAACAAGTTAAAGGTTATAGCAAAGGGAAAGTCTGGAATGAGAATCTAAAACCTCTGCCTATAAATGCCTTTCCTTCCATTGGATGCGTCTAGTTTAAGTTTATTTGATGCTTTTTCTTCATTGGGTAGTCTATTCACCAGTTATTTATTGAATGCCTACCATGTGCCAGGCAGTGAGCCAGGCAAGAAGGATACAAAGATAAATAGAACTCTGTCCATGCCCTTCAGTATTCAGCGTTTCTGTCCCTTAGAAGCGGGTAGTCTTATGAATGTTAACTGCATTTTAATTGATGGTATTGTCTGGCCCCATGGGTCCAATTAAACTGTGCCGGTCTGGCCTTCTGGCTATTTTTTTTTTTTTTTCTTCACTGACTCTTGGCCTAGCTATACTCCTCATAGCTTGGAGGTTCTAGTTCTCTGCTACTTTGATGGACCTCAGCAGAGCTGAAAAGGGAGACACTGCCAGTGTGGAAGTTTATCTACAGCCAGCTTACCTTTCATTCTCACTCAGTCAGACATGCTATTTGTTCATCAGAAATGTCTTCTGTCTGCCAATTATTGTGCATGCAGCAATGGGGAAGTCAGAAGAAGATGTGGTTCTTGCCCACCAGAACTTACTGACTAGCTCAATTACCCTTTTTCTAGGCTGGCCATCTCTAGCCTCAGCCTTTCTTACCTCCAAGAGCAATAATGAGCCCCAGCAAGGCAGGACAACATTCTTCCACCTCCTAATACCCCCACCCACCACCACAGTGTCCCAGGAGATTTTCAGTTTCTTGGGAAGCAAGAATGCCCAAGATGCATGCCAAACCCAGATTCCTTCTCTCTTTTTGTTTCGTTGCATTTTTTTGCCCCTGGTCTTTATTTTCTACCTCACTTAGCACACCTCTTTGACCCATCCCTATGAACCTGAGCAGATTTGCAAAGAAGTTGCCTTGCCCATTCTTTCTGTCCATTTTGCCCCTGAATGCCACCCTGATCCTTGAAGAGTCCAGCTTAGGAGTCTGCCTCTTTCCCCTGAGCACATGAACCTTCAGCCCCACCAGCTCTGATAGACTCTTTAGAAGACCTGCCATAGCTTTCTCCCTCTTGTCAGTGACTAGTTCTGCCATCCTTTGTCTTGCCTCTTCTCCTGAACTGTCTTTAGCAAAACATTTTCTCAGGTCACATAGGATTCAAAGTGTATAGTACAAATGTGTTTTGTATCCCTGCAGCCCAGATACGAGGTCCCCTCTTCCTTTTCCCTTTTCTTCCTTCTTGAGCCTGGGAGGTGTTGATTGGTATGGGGAGGGTAGACCATTGAGGTTAGAGAAGAAGTGGGAAGAATGGGCATTTTCATTCATTCAGCACGTATGTCTTGAGTGCCTACTGTATGCCAGGTCTGGCTTTAGGCAGAGTTTGCATTCCAGCAAGCAGAGAGGAAAAAATAAAAAGATGAAAATAAACTAGAAAAAGTGAGGGTAGTCTTGGGAGTGTCTATACCAGTCACTGGTACCAACAAACATGCCCACCAAGAACTGGGAAATTGAGGGAAGGTGAAGTACCTTAAGATAAAACTCCTTAATTGAGTTTGATTAGCAGATCCCGTAGGGCATAGAGAGTTTGGCTGTGGTTCTCTTCTGGGGCCAAAACGCCCCTTGCCTGCCTACCTGAATCACTGTAGAGGCTGAACATGCACCTTCCCCTCCAGATGGGCCGACAGAACCGCCAGCCCCTTCCTGGGGGCTGGTGAACCCAGCAGTGGCAGGTCATTCTCTGAGTCAAACTGGTTGTTCCTTCATCCGCTTGTGAAGGGGAAAACAGCCTCAGCCTCTGAGCCTGGCACCACCAGGTTTGGCCACTCTTGGTTGTTTGCCTGGGTCCCAGTGCCTCCAGTTCCCACCGCTCTTCTCTGACCCCCAACTCCCGAGCCCCTTGCCTGTCACCCTCCCCCACCCCAGCTGCTGCATGTGCCAGCCCCCACCCAGGAGAGAACTAGGCTCTTGGAAGGGGATAAATGGAGGCTCTGTGCAGGCTCACAGCTGAAATGGCCCTGCGCACGGCCACAGATGGGCCTCTTCTCCCCCTCCACATTTCTGCATCAACAAAGCGTGACCTTGTTTGGATGACAGTCGCCCCATGTTTCCCCCATGACAATGCTTGCCTTGCCTTGCCTCCCAGTGGACTGTCTCAGGACATCTCTGTTCTCTGAAACTGGGAGAGGGTAGTGGGGTGGGAAGCATCACATCCATTGAAAGTCTGTTAAGGCCTTCTCAGCTAAGGTCTGTGAAGGCTGAGATGGACTCAGGAGACCCAGAGGAAGAAACAGTGTGGGGCAGGCATTGAAAGAGCCCTGGTGGCCACATCTTAAGCCCTGGCTTCTGGGCTTAGCTCCAAGCATCTCTGCCGTCCCAGCCTTCCCTTGGCCAAATGCTGGCATGCAAAAGTGAGCCAAACTCTACCCTCAGGGGGCTTATTGACCTTTGAAAAATCTTTTTTTTTTCTGCCAGGGCTGCTGGAGCTGAGCAGAAACCAGTTAGAAATCAAATCCTAGTTCAGCCACTGCCTGTGTGACCTTAACCTCTCCAGGCCTCAGTCTGCCTCTCCATTGGATGGAGGTTTAAGAATGTCTGCTTCCCTCGCTCCTTCCCAGGGATCCCCTGAGGAAGAAATGAAATGAAGAACAGTCTTGTAAATGGCGAGGCTGTTGCTAAGCCCAGGGGAGCCTCTTAACCTCCAGCACTGTGGTGTGCCCACCAGGCCAGCAGTGGGTGGCACACAAGCAAGGGCATTTCAGAGGGAACCCCTCAGCACACAGGAGCTCCAGCATGCCTCATGGGCTTCTCACTAGTTCTGCAGATGGAAAGACTGAGGCTTGAGAACATGGAGTCAGTTATTTACATCCTACTTGACCACTTCAGAAAGTCGCGTTTGAGAATTAGTCCCTGGTACCCGAGGAGTTCCGGAGCCTTGGTCTCTGCACCTCTTGGTCTTCTCGTGCCACCCCCTCCTCAGTTTTCAGTCGTGGTGTTTGCAGGAGCTCACCTGGCTGTCTTTCTCTGGCCTTCCTTTGCAGAGGCGGTGCGGAGCTCCTGTTTGATGGTGTAAAGAAACATCAGGTCACCTTACCTGGACAGGAGGAGCCCTGTGAGTATGGGCTTTCTGAGCCCTTCTCTGGGGGCCACTGGGCAGGAGTCTGCAGGGGTAGACTCAGCCCATTCAAGTGGGAATGGGTAGGATTCTCCCAGCCAGTGGGAGGGAGGAGAGAAGGAGGAAGAGAAATCGCCAGAGTACCCTTTCCCCTTCCTCTCTGGCATCAGCCAGCTTTGTAGTAAGGAGGTGCCATAGCTTAGTCCTTAGAGCGCTGGTTCTATATTCAGACAGACCAGTTTGAATCTCCTTAGAACCTTAGGCCAGTGCCCTCACCTCTCTGAGCTTTAGTGTTCTTATTTGTGAAGTGGGGATGGTTGCCAAGAGGATTAAGCAAGCTATGCCACACGTCTTCATTATTAGATGACAGCAGAAGAGATGTTTTCCTGAAGGTGGTAACCTTCATCAAGAATGGGACGATGTGGAAGGGCTCCCATTACGGTTAGAAGAATTAGAAGAAAAGGAAAGTATCCAGCCAAATATAAGGTTGGAGCAGAGCAGTTGACTGAGGGAGGGTCTTTGTTGAGGGAGGGTCTGAGTTGACAGTGGGGTCTTTTCATTTGTCCATTCAAATACTTGTTCATCTTTAACAAATACCGTTAAAGATATCGAGCACCTCCCATGTGGCAGAACATGTCACAAGTGCTGGGGAGACAGACGTGAATGAGAGTCTGTTTCTCTGCCTTCAGACTGATGGGGTTTGAAGACCTGCAGAGATCCAGCTGGGGAACAGCAGTGTGGCCTGAAGGCAGAAGGCTGGCTGTCACAGCCATGGCGGTGCTTTGCAGCCCTAGCTGGGGATCCCCTAGCAAGAGCAGAATGCTGAGGAACAGGACCCCATCTCTCCCTAGGGCTAAGATACTTCTGGGGAGAAGAGGAAATAGTCATGTGAGGAGGCAGGAGAATGAGGTTGCTGGAGGCAGACAGTAGAAAATGGTCAAGTGAGGCTTGACAGTATTCTTCAAGAACTGAACACATATCTGCCAGGAATCAATTACCACCCAGATTCACAGGATGCCAAGCTTTCTGCCCCTTGGGTTGGAGAGCAGTAGCATAGGATGGGTCTATGTGCCACATTTAGAGGCCGAGGGACACTCACCAGAATAGGGCACTGCTCCCCCTTGAGCTGGGGATGAGCATGAGGCTGGGTTTATGTGTCAGGATTGGAGGTGTGTGTGTCCTTGGTGGGGAAAGAGCCAGGGTGATAAAGGCGACTGTTTTGTAGTTTGGTAGATGGCTACACAACCCTGGGAGGGAAAATGGGGCACTCAGAAGAAGCCTCTCAAAAATTCAACCTTGAAGAGCTGGCTGGGAAGTTATGAAAACCTCACAAGTTATGATTCATTTCCCCCTGTGTTTGCTTGGAAGGCTCCAAGTTTAGTGATTCCAGGTCCCTTTCATTCATCCATTGGCTGAATGTTCACCAAATGCCAGGGATGGAAGTAAGCATTATATTCTTTTCTGTAGTTGGCACATCTTTTTTTTTTTCTTACTTTTTAATTTTTTTATTTTGGTACCATTACTCTACAATTACACGAGGAACATTATGTTTACTAGACTCTCCCCATCACCAAGTTCCCCCCACATTCCCCATTGCAGTCATTGTCCATCAGCGTAGTAAGATGTTATAGAATCACTACTTGTCTTCTCTGTGTTGCACAGCCCTCCCTATGCCCCTCCCCACATTATACATGCTAATCATAATGCCCCCTTTCTTTTTTACCCCCCCATCCCTCCCTTCCCACCCCTCCTGCCCAGTCCCTTTCTCTTTGGTAACTGTTAGTCCATTCTTGGGTTCTGTGATTCTGCTGCTGTTTTGCTCCTTCAGTTTTTCTTTTGTTCTTATATTCCACAGATGAGTGAAATCATTTGGTACTTGT